AAAAAAAAAAAAAAAAAAAAAAAGAAAAAGAAAGAAACAAAGAAAAAAAAAAGGAAAAAGAAAAAATATTTAATTGGCTCATGGTTCCACAGGCTGTACAAGAAGTACAGCGGCTTCTGTGGAGGCCTCAGGAAGCTTATGATCGTGGTGGAAGGTGAAGGAGAAGCATGTCTTATACATCCCAAGCAGGAGCAAGAGAGGGGGGCAGGGAGGAGCCACACACTTTTAAAAGCAACCAGATCTCGTGAGAATGCACTCCTTATCATGAGAACAGCACCAAAGGGGGACATCTGTGTCCAGGATCCAATCAACTCCCACCAGGACCCACCTCCAACACTGCGGAGTGTAATTCCACCTGAGATTTGGGTGGGGACACAGGTCCAGACCATATCCTCCCACCAGGACCCACCTCCAACACTGTGGAGTGTAATTCCTCCTGAGATTTGGGTGGGGACACAGGTCCAGACCATATCCTCCCCCCAGGACCCACCTCCAACACTGCGGAGTGTAATTCCTCCTGAGATTTGGGTGGGGACATAGGTCCAGATATATCCATTGCTTTCTCCACCAGTGAGCCCCTCCTACCATATGCTGGCCATCCAGAGCAGCTACCCAGGAAGCCTCTGCCATTAGGGTCGATCATGTGAACCCAGGGGAAGCCACTGATGAAGGTGGGTGGGTGAGGCTTAAGGTAAATGAAGGCAGGGCACAGGGTGGGAAGGTTCTGGAACATCTACGCATCCTTCCCCATGGGGTGCACACCAGGGGACACAGAGGGCTGCCCACATCACCAAGGGCCTCCAGTGGCCACTGAGTTTGGGATTAGTCAGCAGACCACATGCCTAGGAGTGACAAGGCCAGCCACTGGTGGCAGACGGAAGAAAGGGCAGACACGTATCCTTATTTTCTCAGACCTTTTTAAAAATAACAGCGTTATTGACCGTGAACACCATACAATTCATCCATTTCAAGTGTAAATTCAGTGGTAGTGAGTATATTCACAGAATTGTGCAACCATCACCACTGCCTAATTTTAGAACCTTTTTATCACCTCTGAGAAACCCCATACCATTAGCTGCCACCCCACATCTGTCTCCCCACTTGAGCCCCGGCAATCACGAATCCACTTTCTGTCTCTGTGGATCGACCTCTTCTGGACAGTTCATGTAAATGGAACATACGCTCTGTGTGGCGGTTTGTGGCTGGCTGCTTTCCGGGTTCATCCATGTTGTAGTTGTGGTGTGTGTCGATGCAAACCTTCTTTTATGGCTGAATAAGACCCCGTTGTTTGGCCACAGTAGAGTCTGCTCAGCCATCCTTTGGGGGTTGTTTCTGCTTTTTGGCAATTATTACTGGTGGGAATGCTCATGTACAAGGCTTTGTGTGGGTGTGTGTTACCATCTCTCTTGGGCAGGTATCTAGGAGTGGAGCTGCCAGGTCACAGAGTAACTCTATGTTTCACATTTTGAGGAACTGCCAGGTTGTCCTATTTTACATTTCCACCACGATTGAGGTTCCAGTTTCTCCGCCTGTCACCAGCACCTGTCACCACCTGCCTTTTTTATTTCAGTTTTCCTAGTGGCTGTGGAGTGCCATCCGAGTCTGCTTTGGATCTGTGATTCCCTAATGACGAATCATATTGAGCATCTTTGCATGTAGTTATTGGCTATTTGCATGTTTTCTTTGAAGAAATGTCTATTTAAGCCCTTTGCCCATTTTTGTTTGGGTTGTCTTTTTGTTGTTGAATTATGAAAGTCCTCTATACATTCTGGATACCAGATCTTTATCAGATATGACATTTGCAAATATTTCTCTCATTCTGTGGGTTGGCTTTTCACCTTCATGATTGTCTCCCTTGAAACACACAAGTTTTTTTTGTTTGTTTGTTTTTTTGAGACAGAGCCTTAAAGGACTTCACTCTCCTCCAGGCTGGAGTGCAGTGGCTCAATATCAGCTCACTGCAACCTCTGCCTCCTGGGTTCAAGCAATTCTCCTGACTCTGAGTAGCTGGTATTACAGGCACCTGCCATCATTCCTGGCTAATTTTTGTGTTTTTAGTAGAGATAGCGTTTCACCATGTTGGCCAGGCTGGTCTTGAACTCCTGACAGCAGGTGATCTGCCCACCTTGGCCTCCCAAAGTGCTAGAATTACAGGCGTGAGCCACCACACCCAGACAAGTTGTTAATTTTGATGAAATCAATCTATTATTTTTTGAATTGGATGAAATCCAATTTATCTAATTTTGATGACATCTAATTTACTATTTTCATCTATTCATGAGTTGGATGAATAAATCCAATTCATCTATTCTAGATTTTTTTTTTTTTGGTTATTTGTATTTTTGTAGGGTCGTATCTAAGAATGCAAGGTCATAAAGACTTGAACTTACATTTTCTTCTACAAGTTTTATAGTTTTCTTCCATTTAGGTCTTTCATCTATTTTGAGTTAATTTTTGTATTTGTTATGGGGTAGAGGTCCAGCCTCATCTATTTGGCAGGCCCCTCAAGGGAGAGCCAACGATCTCATTTTGCAGATGGCAAGACCAAGGCTGGGCGAGGAGAAGAGTAGTCAGAGGCCAGGTCTGTGGACTGAGCCTAGAGCTGCTTCCACAGCCCCTGCTGGGTCCGGCAAGCCGGTGTCAGGGCTCCAACCCCTTCCTGTACATCACACCCACTTCTGACTCAGGCCACAGCAAGGCCTTGCTAGCCCAGCTTCCTGCTCCCGCCCAGGCAGTACCGGCTCCCACGGCCCTGCCTCTGGGGTGTGAGGCAGAATCCAGAGACCCAGGCCTGGGGCTCTTTCAGGGGGTGAGAGCATCTACCTGCAGGAAAGCGTGTGCTTCCAGCAACCTGTGATCACCTTGACCTGCACGTCGGTACACCAACAAGCCCCAGAGGGAGGTAAGAGCCACTAGACCTGGTCAGCATCCCACCGGGACAGATGGCAGGTGAATCCAAGGATCTTGAACCCAAGCTCAGCACTGTATGGGTCGCTGAGTTCCTTAAGACCCGGTCCTCTGATCAACTCGATGAAACCTGGCTGTGGCCACTGTGTGGGTCAGGTCAAGCCAGACAGGGTGACTGGAGGCTCCACCTGATGCCCATCTCCAGCCTGGCTTCCTAGAAGGTCTGAGCACGACAACTTCTCTTCTCTGAAGATGCATCTCTGTCTGTTGGCGACCTGGCATCTTCCGGGGGTGCTTCTGGTGTCTTCTAACAGGACTGTGCTTCTCGGTGACACAGTTTGGCCACTTGGAAATGGCCATAGTGGGTCAGTAAGGACCAAGGAAGCCTTGGGGGCCAAATGGTGACTGGGTTCAGTTCACAAGAAAGTCGGG